GTTGGGGCGGGCCGGGGGGCGCCCTGGATCGTGGGCCGCTTGGGAAGCGCGGTGGCGCTCCCGCCCGAGGGTTCGGATCCCACATACAGACCAGTTCCCGCTCACTGGCTGAGCGAGGCGCGGGAGCAACACCGAGGGTTGCAATCCCGTTGCCGGTCCCCGGTCCAGTACGGGGGCAACACTGAGGGTTGCGATCCGTTGCCGGACATGGAAAAAGACAAAAAAAAAAAAAAAAATAAGCCCACTTTTTATCTCTGCTCACCTGGAGGCCACACATACTTACCCTGAAAACAGAAAGTTGACCTATAGCCTAATATTTGTTTCCTACTAGCTTTTTCTTTTTTTTAGCAGTAAGCCTTTTTCCTGATTATATTGTATTTTGTTGAACATAGTAATTTTTCATTAATAGAAATTCATAGATGATGCATGCAAAGAAAAGTTTTGAATTCAGTTAATGAATGGTCCAAACAGAGAAGGTAATAAATTCCTTTTGCCTATCTCTACAGACACGCCACCACTGCTCTTTGAGGTGTCATCCCTGGAGAGTGCTTTTCAGATTGGAGGCCATCCTTGGCACTACATCATAACACCTAATAAGAAGAAACAGAAAGGAGTTTTCCATATATGTGCCTTAAAAGACAATTCCTTGGTAAATCATGAGTGATCAGACTTTTTAGTAGTAAATTTGTATCAGAAATTCTTTATTCTCTATCTCTTTAATAGGTCCACATTCCTAAGAATTGCCTCTTTATTTTAGCTTTTTTACTTACCAGTCTCCCATCAAGAGATCCCACATAAAACATTTCTCAAGCTCCACAATGGTAATCATTGATGGAATATGTTCAGTCTGCCTCTGAAGTTGCTGGTGGAATGTGGTGTTGGTTTTGCTTCTACATTGTTTGTTGCTATTTGCTTTCCAGAGCAGAAATGGATAGAACTCTGGTGGTCACACTGTAGGTATGAAACACTGAATTTTCAAAGATAGTCTTAATTTTTTTATGGCAGAGTAGGAAGAAATGGTACATGGTAAAACAATAGAAATTTCTACCCTTGAATTCATTTTTCTTCATTTTTTAAAAAAATGTGATTTAGGCATTGATTTGTCTTTAAATAAATATTTACTGAGTGCTTATCATGTGCCAGATGTGGCTGGGGACACATTTTCTTCTCTCAAGTTGCTTACACCCTCAAAAGAAAGAAAACATAGAGAAATAAGATGCAGTGTATTAAGTACAGTGATTGAGATAAGTGCAAAAGAGTAAGTCCACAGAGGAGGGGGGTTCTGTTTTTGTTTTGTATTGCTGATTTAGTTTAGTTTATTTATGGAACCTCTTGATTTATCAGATCAACTTGCTTTTCTTGAGACAGCCTCAGCTTATTCTACACCCATCTCTTCCAGGACCTCACTCCAGTGGCTTTTAGAGTTACAGGTCACCTTTTACCACTTTGAAGATCAGCACAGTCTTTGGTCCATTTATCTACTTCTCTTGATATCATGTGTATAATGTCTTCTAATTTTCTCTTGTAGGAGCATTGTTCCCTTCCATTTTCTTATTTACTAATCACATGTGGCAACTCCAGTTTGGCCCAACCCAATGACATCCTCTTTTACAAAGGACTCTCTAGGGTTGTTTCTCACCATTACAAGTCTTGGTTTGATTGTTCACCTTCCAGCCAATGGACATCCTTCAGCCACCAGCACTTAGCATATCTCTTTTTTACTTAACTTTTGCATCCAGTCAAACCCTGTGTAGTTCACATGCTGAACATTTGGCACATATTCTTCTCACATAAGAATATGATAATACATATTCTTTCATATATATATATATATATATATATATATAAATGTAAATGTATATATATATATATATATATATATAAAAATGTATATACATACACCCACACACACACGAGTCTTCAAAAATTCATGGAAAGATTCATATTATCTTTTAATTCTGTTTTTCCATGAACTTTTTGAAGTACCCTCATATATCCATATCCATGGATTCTGCATTTACAGATTGAACCAACTGTGGATCGAAAGTATTCAGAAAAACCAAAACAATGAATAATAATACAACAAAAATAATACAAATAAAAAATACAGTATAATAACTCTTACATTTACACTGTATTAGATATTATGAGTAATCTAGAAATGATTTATTAAAGTGTACAGTAGGATAAGCATAGTTATATGCATATATTATGCCATTTCATACAAGGGACTTGAGCAGCCATAGATTTTGATATCTGCAGGGGGTTCTGGAACCAATCCTCCAGGATAACAAGGGACAACTATGTAAATAAAAGCCTTCAACATTTATATCAAGCATGCCTATCATGTTTTCTTCTTCTGTTACAACCAGTTACAACATTTAGTCATATCTGTTTCAGAATATTCATAAATAATTCCAAATCCAAGGGAAATTTTCAGTCTTTTTGCTAGACAGTTTTATTGCAATGAGATTGCCTTAATGATACATAATCCCATTACCTTTCCACCTGTCAATCAGCAGAGTGGATAATCCCGAAACACATAAGCAACCAAACTTCAGATTTCAGAAAATGTTTCATAGCTTTCTGTATTAAACTGACAGTTAAGATCTAGCATTTGATTATATAATAACTACAGGAACTGATAATAATGCCTAGTAATTAACACAGAGAAAAAAATTTTGTGTGTATGTGTTATATTTAGATATTTATAATAAAGAGAACAGCTTCTAAAGAAAGATATGTATAGTATGTACAGGTTTTATATTAAACAAATGAGCATCTGGAGCTAATACCATTATGGATACATTAACTTCAATGGTTACAACCAAGATGTTTAATTGCATTAATTTTCTGATGTGTAAAATGTAATAATACCACCATTTTTATTAGAAATAATTAGGATACTTGTAAAAATTCTTGAAAAATTGAAACTCATTTTATGCATAAAATGTGTTAAGTACCAAAATCTTTTGAATCATGGCACACAAAGCACGTACTATGTAACCCCAGCCTGCCTTTCCAGTCTCATAGATGGACACTGTACTTACTTTTGGCTGCTACTGATGCTTATGTACATACATGCTATCTTGATTAACACTCCTGTGATTTTGATTTTGCTGTCTCTTCTTTCTAGCTGTTTTCTGCTTATCCTGTAAGGCTCAGTTCAAGCTCTTTCTGTCTGAAATTCTGCTCACCTGAGTTGAGTGCTTAATGATATCCTGTGCATGGCTCATCACTTCATTTTCTACACTACCTTATTATTTTGTTTGTTTCTGCATCCCCCAGACTATATATAAGCTTCTTGATGGCAAGGATTATTTTATTTTTCTGATTTTGTTGAACCATTTGTCCATATTTTCTTGTATCTCAGTTTTCTTAAGATAATTAATTAGAATTCCTTTTCCAGCAAGTTGGCAATATCTGATTCTTTGAGATCAGTTTCTAGAGCATTATTCTGTGTTTTTGGAGGTGTCATGTCACCTTATTTTTTCATGTCTTTTGTTTCCCTGCATAGATATCTGTGCATCTGGTGGAACAGTCACCATTTTGAGTTTTGTAGAGTGGCTTGTGTGGAAAAAGACTCTCACTTACAAACACGTCCTAGGGTGTCATTTGGGTAGACTGCAGTGGCTTTGTTCTAGATGGATGCAGTAGTGTAGGCACCCTAGACCTGCAAATGTGTCCTAGGGCGTCAATTGGGTAGAGTGCAGTGGCTTTGTTCTGAATGGATGCAGTAGTGTAGATTTTCTTCAACTATAATCCACTTTCACTGTGTCTGCAGGTGACTCAGTGACCTATGTTTTGGAGGATTGTGGCAGCAGTGGCACAACTTTGCTGGGGTAGTTATCGCTGGGTTGGTTCACAGGCTGGGGTTGTATACATGCATCCTATTGGTCAGTCGTCTCAGGAGCTGGCTTACTGGAGATGCAGTTGCTGAATTGATTCTCAGGCTGGGGGTGTGGGCGTATGGTGTGTCAGGGTCTCTGGGACAGGTTTACCAGTGGCAGGGTCATCGTGCTGCTTCTCTGAACAGGGGTGGGCCTGCCAGTGACACATCAGCCAGTCTGTTTCTCACTTGGATGCATGTGCATGTGATGGTTCAAAGATTCAGGGCGTCGAGGGGGTCTCTTAGCTGTGGGCATGACAGCTGAACTTTTTCTCTAAGCCAGGAGCATGGGTGTACTTTGGGTGGGCTAGTCGTATGCAGGTTTCCTGGTGGCCTTTCTACTGTGCCAGTTTTGGGGCCCGATGCAAGGTCGTGCTTCCCTCTGTAGTTCAGGAGCTGGACTGACAAGGTGGAGCTGCTGAGCTGCTTCTCAGGAAGTGAGCAAGGCCACTAGGCAGGGCTGGAGGCTCAGGCACACCCAACCCAGTCAGCTGGCAGGGATTAGGGTCAGGGAGGAATGGGGGTCAGATTGCCTGAGGAGGGTATGCCTTTATGATCTCTGCTCCAGGATGTGGGGATGTGGGGACATGGGTATGGGAGGTGGGGGTATGTCAGTTCAGCAGGACTAAAGTTGGCTTCCCGGACTGCAGAACTAGAGTCGCAGTTGCTGTGAGCCTAGGCTTCAAGCTGCTGGGATCAGGGCGTTGTAGTCTCTCATGTGAGTGTGCTGGGATGAAGGCAAAGCCTTAAAGCTGGGGAGGCACATGGCTACTAGCCCCAGGGCAGCACATGCTTCCATAATGGCTGTGGTTTCAAGATGGCACAGTCCTGCATCAACTTGGGTCAGGAAGGTGGGAGTGGGGAGAGCACAGTTTGTACTAGCATTCTGGAGGGATGTGTGTATTCTAGGACGATCTCCACACTTGATTCTGGGCTTGTCCTGCCAGAGGATCTGCTGGCCTCTGTGGTGAGGATGGGGACTGGTGTGGGTCCTCTGTGCACCTTTTCACTGCAAGGGAAAATTCTTCCTGCTCTGATCCTGGTCTCAGAGACATGGTGTCTAAGGCCATGTGCCTCTCTCTCCTCCCTCTGCCACCATTCTGGGCTTTTGAGCTCCCCAGGGATCTCACCAGAGTCCTGCTGTACTCCTACACTCTTCCACAGATGCTTCTGTCAATATTTAGCTGTCTGTTAGTTGTTCTAATCCTTTTCTGTTGGGGGAACTTGCCCTGGGCACCTCTAGTCTGCCATCTTGCCCCTCATCCACAAGGATTGTGTTTAATTCATGTTAGGTATAAATGCCTGCTGTGATGCCTAGAGCATAGTAGCCTATCAATATATGCTAATGGAATTAATAAACTTCAGTATCTAATAGGAAAGATGGTATCATTTCATTTTACATTGGAGAAATTAAAGAAATTTAATGACTTGGATAAAGCCAGTGAAGTTAATTATATCCATGCTGGTATTAGTTGCCAGTATTCCTATGCATAAGATAAAACATTTATGTACATATGATCACACATCATAGAGGGTTTTCTTCTTTATTTTAATGTCTAAATATACTACAATGAAATAAATCTTTCTACCTTAAATGCTAAGCAGCCATTAGACTGTTTCCTCAAACATTACACTTTGATATTTGACTTGTCCAAGGAGATTATATGACCTGTGTCTAAGACTTCAGGTTTGGTTACATGTTTGTTTTTGTGTTACCTGCTTTTCTGATGGACAAGTTGTTGGATATGGGGAATGGAGGAAAAAGTTGTGGGGAATTGCATGTGAATAATTATGGCAGAGTTATATAATGGAAAGTCTCTGGATTTTGAAATCAGGTCTGCTGTTTAGTAGGTTCAAAACATTGGGCAAATTATTTACTCTCTTTGTGTATCAGTTTCCTCATCCATAAAATGGTGATAACAATCCCTGCCTTGAATGTTATTAAGATCAAAGGAAATAGTGAGTGTAAAGCATCTAATGAAGTCCCTGACGCACAGTGCATTCTTGAGATATGGTAACAGTTATTATTATTTGTGAGGCATGATGTATGGTACAGAGTAAATCTATGAAATTTCTGAATTTAAATATTATGAATTTTTCAAATTTGAGTGTCCTAATTCAGCCCTCATATATATCCCTGTTTAACTAACATTTTTTCTTCTCTGTACCTTTGACTTACTGATCTATCATTGGTGTCAGAATGAAAAATTATTTGATTTTTCTCTTTATCTTTGTCTTTAATTGTTTTTCCAACTTCAGGCAAAAAATGGAATCCAGGAAATGGAGTGTTGTTCTCTAGAATCTGACTGGATCTATTTCCATCCTGATGCTTCTGGTAGAATAATACATGTTGGCCCAAATCAAGTCAAGTGAGTGACTTCAATTGCACTTTAAAGATAAAGCTTTTGGTAGCATTTATTGACTTCCTGTTGCTAGGATAAAGACCAACATAGTTAGCATGGTCTGAAAAATCCTTTCCCCACTCAGTTTGCTTCAGTCTTACTGTCTTTTCGGAAAGTTGAGGACCCGTTCCCTCTGCTTGGAGTCTGTTTCCCCTGCCTGTTCTCCTGCCTAATTTCTGTTCATATTTTATGGCCCAGCTTAACCGTAACTTTTTCACAGAGACGTTCCCTGATACCCCTTGTTAGATTTGCTCACTCATCATATTTTCATTGCACCTACTTTGTAATCTTCCTCTGTAGCACTTAGATCAATTTTAATTAATTCCTTGTGTGATTGTTTAAATATCTAGCTTTGTTATCATAAGCTCCATAACGACAGGGAAAGAGTCTATTTTGCTGACACCTGTAACCCCAGCACTGAGCACAGTGCTTGGTACAGAGTAGATGCTCAGTAAGTATTTGTTGAATAAGAAAGTGTTTACCTTCTTTATTCTTTATGCTTCTTGATAGTCAGTCTACCTCTTTGGATCTATTATAAAGAAGATGAAAGGATTTAATGAAATAAGTTTATTAACTTTTACAAAACATCTTAAACTGTGGTTCAGCTTCAGTAAACTTACCTTTTTTTTTACCTTTTTGTCTTTTTTCGTGACCGGCAACAGATCGCAACCCTAAGTGTCGCGCCTGTACCAGACCGGGACCGGCAACGGGATCGCAACCCTCGGTGTTGCGCCCACACCTCACTCAGCCAGTGAGCCGCCAGTCTGTATGTGGGATCCGAACCCTCGGCGGGAGCGCTGCTGCACTCCCAAGCGGCGCACTGTAGCAGTGCGCCACCGGGCCGGCCCCAGTAAACTTACTTTTAATGTTTACTACCACTGATCTTTTTAATGTTTGTTATCACCCATTTCAGTTTGAGTTTAAGAAAATGAGGTCCACAAAGAGTACTCTTGAAGTCTCAGGGGCTTTTAAGCATGGAGAAGAGCATGTAGTGATCAGACATTAGTATTGCAGACTAATCAGGAAAAAGGGTGAACTAAGTCAGTGTTGTTACTGTAATTTTCATTTGCTGAGTTTCATTTCAGTAGTTCAACTTGGCACTTTGATGGTGTTTTGAGGTAGTAGGTTCTTAGAATCCTTTTTTCCCTTTTCAGAGTTTTAAAGCTGAGTGAAATAGAAAATAATAGTTCTCGGCATCAGATCTCTGAAGATTTTGTCATTTTGGCCAACAGGGAGAAGAATAAAGTAAGTCAGGAGTATTTTGAAATCCTTTGTATATCATTGTCTTTCGTATAAGAATATAATATGCAAATGTGTTTGCCTTTGAGTGTGGATGCAAACAACAACACAATTGTATAATAGTCATAATAGTCTGTTCAGTTTGTCTACGTGGGTAGCCATCCTTAGCCCCAGATGCATGTGAGATTTGAAGAGAGTTGATCATATTGAGTTTATCTTCTGGTTATTTTTCTTTTTTGGATTTCTCTTTAAATTTTTATTGACTAATTATCAACGTTTGGGTCTAAATAATTAAAATTAGGGTTAGTTGGGGTATAAATAAATCTTTAAAAATCACATATCAGGGCTGGCCGTTTTACTCAGTTGTTTAGTGGTCAGCCTTACAACACCACGGTCAAGGGTTCAGATCCCTGTACTAGCTAGCTGTCCAAACAAAATAAAATAAAATAAAAATCACATACCATATTTTAACTCCAGATGGTACTTTTCCTTTAAGTATATAAATTAACATGAAGAAAATGATGGGGAGAGAAGTTTCTAAAAGCAGATTCACTTTTTATTTGCTTACTATACTAAGATAAAAGTCAAAAGGGCGAGTGAATCAGCAAATCTATAATCTTTTCTTTATTTCTGCCTATTCTGGTATTGAAAACTTTACTATAACAAAGTATTTTTACTAACTAGAGGATCAGAAACTGATTTAGAATTTTCTCAGTTGAGGAAAGAATTGTGGATGTTGGAGAAGAGTTGGTTAGTTTCACCAAATTTGTTAATACAATTTTGCCTTTGATGGCTTATAATCGAACTTGTCACATCTTTTTATTTCTTTCTGTATGATAGAATGAAAACCTCACTGTCACAGCTTCTGGACGGGTGGTAAAAAAAACTTTTAACCTTCTGGATGATGACCCAGAACAAGAGGTATTACTTTAGTCAGAGATAACAAACCAAAGCAATGTGTACTTACATGGTGCATTTCAAATTAATGTTTCCCAGACCCTGGGGTAGAGATCAGGGGTGAAGGGTTCCATGAAGGCTGAGTAGGTAAGATTATGTGTGCTACTTCAACCTGTGCAGCACCACCATCCTCTTTTCATATTGGAATTATTCATAAGATTTTGTTTGCAGAAAGGTTCATAGGACCAAAATAATTTGAAAACACTGTTTGTTTGTTTTGTTTTGCTGATGTGTAAGCTTTCTCAGGAAATCTCTTAATAGAAAATTCTTGAGTTATATCCGAATGACTTTATGGCTTTTGCCTTATTTTTTATTTACTAGGCATGGATATGTTTGCTAGTGTTCATGGGCCAGAGGAGGGAGTGAGGTTGTGGTAAATCAGTTTAGCCTTTGTTCTCAACTTGGCACTGCCAGTCACTGACCTAATACATTTTTCTCTCTTTCCTTTAAAGAGGCATTGGAAATACTTATGAAATCAACTGGCAGTGATCATGCTTCAAATATATAACCATTGTATAAATACTAAATCCATTTAGATAATATAACTATTGTTAGTGTGACCATTTCTAGGTAGAAATATTACAGTAGTCTTCTAAGGACAGTTTTTTTTTTTCCTTTTTGTCTTTTTTCATGTCCGGCAACGGACCGCAACCCTCAGTGTCGCGCCCGGACCAGACCGGCAACGGGATCGCAACCCTCGGTGCTGTGCCCGCCCCTCGCTCAGCCAGTGAGCGGGAACCAGTCTGTATGTGGGATCCGAACCCTCGGCGGGAGTGCCACTGCGCTCCCAAGTGGCGCACTGTAGCAGTGCGCCACCGGGTCGGCCCAAAATGTAGTCACATTTTTTTTTTTCCTTTTTGTCTTTTTTCGTGACCGGTAACAGGATCGCAACCCTCGGTGTTGTGCCCACCCGTACCGCGACCGGCAACGGGATCACAACCCTCGGTGTTGCGCCCGCACCACGCTCAACCAGTGAGTGGACCGGTCTACTATATGGGATCCGAACCCTCGGTGGGAGCACCGCCGCGCTCCCAAGCGCCGCACTCTACCGAGTGCGCCACCGGGCCGGCCCAGGACAGTTTTCGAAAATCTTTTGAAATAGGTTGGAGGTAGCCTAGTATGTGGCTGCTCTCAAAAAAAAATGTTCTTTTGGACCATAGAAACCTATTGAGAACAAAGCAGAAAGCTTTGTTTATATACACTGTATATAAAACTATGAAGAAAGATGTACTAAAATTACCGAAAGATAGTATGAATAGTTAAGGGGGAAGAGATGATAGCAAAAAGAGAGATGCCATATATTGTGAGATTAGAAAACAAAATCTTTTAGCCTGTAAAGGAAAAGTTGAAAATCACTGACATCCAGACAAGAAGTCACTCTTTGAAGTTTGGCCATGGTAAAATTAAGGCAAAAAAGTAAATAAAAAGGGACCATAGGTAATACAGGGATCATCAGAAAGTTCATGGAAAGATTTGTATTATCTTTTAATTCTATTTTTCCACAAACTTTTGAAGTACCCTCATAAACCTATGTAAATTTTTTGTGTCATAAGGTGGTAAATATGGCAGAAAGTATAAATGGATTAAGGAGCAGTTTGACCAAATGTAGGTGAAGAATTAGTGCATGGTGGTTAAGAAACGCTGTGGTTAAGTTTGATGCCAGGCACTGAGCAAAGGTGTGCCTTCCTGTGGGTCACCCCTAGATGGCTGGCCACTCATTGTCTTCCCCTGTGAGGCTGTTGGAGTCCCAGGTTTTCTTTTTTTTTTTTGTCTTTTTTCGTGTCTGGCAACGGATCGCAACCCTCAGTGTCGCGCCCGTACCGGACCAGGACCGGCAACAGGATCGCAACCCTCGGCGTTGCACCTGCACCTCGCTCAGCCAGTGAGCGGGAACCGGTCTGTATGTGGGATCCGAACCCTCGGCGGGAGCGCCGCCGCGCTCCCAAGCGGCGCACTGTAGCAGTGCGCCACCGGGCCGGCCCCCAGGTTTTCTTTCTTGAGATAGAGTTCTGGGGTTTTTCTCTTCACCATAGCTAACCTCTCTTGTCCCCATTCTGTTCTGAGGGTTGGATTTCAGTTCCTGGTATTCTCCCTCAAGTATAAGCAGCCATTTTTGCTTTCTTTAAGGAACTGAAAAGCTTTAAAAAAAAAAAAAAACCAAAAAGAATGGCAAATAGAGTCATAATTAGTACATGATGAGCTATCATTTCTTCTTGAAATGACAGTTTTTCTGCTGTGAGAACTTACAGAACTCAGCAGTCTTCAGATTTCAAAAATGAGCTTCATATATTTAGTCCTATTTGGGAATCAGTGAACACGCATTTTAGAGGCAGCAGTTGAATGCCTCTTTTGAATGCGGAGAAACTCTTTTTTGCTGTCGTTGTAGAGAATTTCAGTTGTACTTTGGCTGAGATCTACATAGACTTGGTTCTGTTAGCCAAAATCTGTAGGGTACTGCTTAACTCTTGAAAATCTTGGGACTGATATTCTACCAGGCATATAAGTAGAGATGCATATCTACCTATTCTCCTACACATTCATTCTTTCTTCTCCCATATTTTGTAATAGAATAGTTAAATTATAAACGTAGTAATAATTCTAACCTGAATAACTGAATTTTGCACTTCTTTTCCTCTCCCTTATCCACCTATTCCTGAGACTTTCAAAATTGTGGACTATGAAGATGAGTTGGATTTGCTTTCCGTGGTAGCTGTTACTCAAATAGATGCTGAAGGAAAAGCTCACTTGGATTTCCACTGTAATGAATATGGAACTTTACTTAAAAGCATTCCACTAGTGGAGTCGTGGGATGTGGTGAGTAGAGTACACAAAATACAAAGTTATAAGAGTTTTCTTTATAGATACGGTTTATCAGAACAGATGTTACTGTGTTCATGTCCAGACTCTCCTATGCCAGTGATGACATACATGAAAGAGGTTATTGTCCTATACACAGGACAAAATGAGTATTTCTTAAGCCTTCCTCCCCTCAGCACTAGGCGATACCTTCTTACCAGTGGCCTTAAAGATAAAACTATCTGTTTTCCTGACACATGCTTTCTATTTCCTTACCATAGTCTTTGATTTTCTCCCAATTCTAGGTTTGGTAACACTTAAAAAAAAATGAATACTGCAATGAATCCCCACAATATCTAAGCATGTAGGGTTTCCAGGCACTCTTGAGAACGTTTGTATGCCCTTCCAACTGTTATAGATTATAAAATTATAAGGATCAGTAGACATTACTTTATCTATACCTTGTTTTTAATCAATGGAGAACGTGAGAGGTTTAGCTTCTAGCAAACTGTCACACAGTGAGATAGATAGTACCAGTGTTGGCAGTAGAATCTGAGTATTCAGACTCCTGAGTCTAAATTTCTTTTCATTCTCTATATTTTGTACAATGCTTTTTTCATTAGTAATCTGCATATCTACAAATAATAAAGAATAAATCTGTTTCTGACTACTGTTTTGCCTCCAAATGCATATTTGAAGATTCCTAAAGGTATTGTGTTATTTTAGTGATATGTTGGTGAATATGGTTACATGAAAAAGAGATTACATATGATTGTGTTTTTGTTACAGACATATAGCCATGAAGTCTATTTTGACAGAGACTTGGTGCTACACATAGAACAGAAACCCAACAGGGTCTTCAGCTGCTATGTTTACCAGATGGTATGTGACACTGGGGAAGAAGAAGAAACCATAAACAGAAGCTGTTAAAAAGAGCAAGATAATTGTAAATTAAGAGACTTTTAGCCAGACACACCAACAGCTGTGTCCATTCCTCCTTCTTATTATCTGCATGGCATATTTTCTAGAAAAAGTCTTATGTTGACTTCAGATAACCGTGACTTATTTTTTAAACTTGCCATTGAAGGTGTTGAAGGCTTCATTCTGTGTAAAGGTTTTTTGGTTTTTTGTTCATTTTTTTGCGGCTGGCCATACGGTAATCTGAACCCTTGACCTTGGTGTTATAATACCATGCTCTAACCAGCTGAGCTAACTGGCCAGACTTATATGTAGAGGTTTTTTAGAATGCTGTCCCAAGAAGTCTAGTATTTTGGAGCTTTTAGCTAGGCAGTAATGCAAATATAAAATTCTGGAGAACAGGGAAGGACAGGTTAATTCCATCTGTTGAAGAGAGGGTCATTGATGGGGAGATGATTAACACGGTTCTTAAAGGGTGGTATGGAATTTTGATTGGTAAAGCTAGGAGAGAGACATAAAAATAAAAATAAAGAAGAAACACATAAAAAATTCTATATCCTCTGTATCAAACTTTGCTTAAGAATGAGAAATGAGATGTATAATATGAAAGCATACTTTTGAGCCAAAAATGCATCATCACAATTTAAAAAAACCCTTATATATGTATATATATTTTGTACTTGTATATAGTATAAAGTATTGGTTTTAATTCCCTTATTCTCTTGGTTTGATGTTTCCATTAAATACTTGTATTTCTATTATAGACTGATATAAAAGAGTCCAAGCAGATTTTTTTTTTTTTTTTTGACAGCTGGCTGGTACAGGGATCAAACCCTGAACCTTGGTGTTATCAGCACTACGCTCTAATCAACTGAGTTAACCAGTTAGCCCCAGATTAAAGTTGTTTTCTTATTACCCCAAGCAAATGTTAAGTGAATTTTTTTTCTAATAAGTAGCCTATTTAGCTTTTAATACATCTAAGTACGTTGTTCTCATTTCACCATTCTATTTATTTAGTGAATCTTCCAATTTTGTTTAGGCAGTATCTTCATACCTATGCAGTAAGATAATGGTACCCTGGCCTGCACCAGTTCTCTTCCCTGTAGAAGAGTAGATAGAGCCCCAAGAGGAGTTCTTACCAGCTTGGGAATTGCCAGATTAGCCAGAGAAAGTTTTTGGCTAACTTAATTATGAAGTGAGGTTTTTTTCCTTCTTTGTTAGACTAGATCTAAATATGAACCCATAATCATTGTGCAGAATGTTAAATAAAGGCAACCTAAGTAAAAGGGGAGAATGTTTGTTGTGCTTCCTGTTTGAGAAATACAGTTGCTTGCAATCCACATGTTCAGCACATTTCTCTGTTTCGGCCTCAAAAGAATAACAAGTAAAAAAAAAAAAAAAAAAAAAAAATAGTAAAAATCATTGCTGATTCAAATTTGAGGTTAAAATATGAAATTTTAGTTTGGATGATTTATGTTAAAATCTTTCCATTTTTCTTTCAGTTTTGACTTGATCCTATGTTAAGAATGATGTGAATTGTTTCCAGTTCTGCCCTGAAAGTTTGCAAATAAATATCAAGTTTATTTTGATCAACAGGACTGGGAAGAGAGAGGTTAGCTACTCCAAAAGTCAAGGAATTAGTGGCAGGATGTGTAAATTTAAAAGAAATAGAGGGAGCAAACCTAAAACTCTCTTTTGTATTAGAAAAAATAAGATTAATAATATTTTAGAATACGGGAAAATATTTATATGTGGGCTAAAAACACATCTTTCTAAATCTGTCCTGTGTATAATAACCATCTGGGAAAGTAGAAGTGATTACCTCATGAGCAAGATGATAAAATTATGTTCATATATTAAATTTTAATACTTTTATATCTACTAATTGAAATATCCATTCTCATTTTACATATATTTAACAGTACTATTTAATATAATATCTGAAGCTTTCAGAGCATTTTAGAGATATGATTATGATTACAATGTGTTAGATATTGCCTCAAACTTTCAATTACACACTAGCTTTATCTAGACAGTCCCTCCCAATAAATTTACACCTTGAAAGAACAAGTCTGGTAAGAGGAGAGTGAAAATGCCAAAGAAATGAAAGAAACCAATGTTGTGTGAGTTTCAAACCAGATAACAGTGCTGTGTAACCCAGAATGTTTACTCGCCCATTTCCAAGAGTATTTCAGAATAGGATGTCTTTAGACTTCAATCCTGTCAGAGATTTTTTTTAAAAGGTGGTTATTGAGTTTCTCCTTCAAGTCATTGCCTTCTTTTGATGAAATGATAGAAAAGAACTTATCTACTCAGAAAGGCATTTGAGAAATATATGAGATTCCTGTCTGCTTTTTTGGTGGGGGTAGGAGGTGGAATATTTCTAGTCTAGGTAAGGACTGACCACTAAGAAACTCCTAATGTGTCACCACTGCCAAAATCTAACTAGACCAATGTCCAAATGCCATATAGGCCAGGGAGGAAATATACCTAATGTGAAAGTTAGTAAAGAGTTGTGGGTAGTGGAACAAAAAGGAGAGCTATGCCAAAACTAAAAGGATAAGCTTAGTTTCAGCCAATTTTAACAGTATACAGGAATGTTGGTTACATGGTTGTTAAAAGAATGATTTTAAAATGATGTCGAGAGACACAGAAGATAGTAAAGAATGTGGGAAATTTAGATACTACTGATAGCAGGCGACAATACAGCATGCTTCCCAAAAATGTTTGTGCTTCCCAGCTCCCTACACTGTCATGCAGCTGCTCATTCTACCACGTGCCAGACATGGGACTTTGCCATTCTCAGAGGGTGGGGGGGGGAGTGGGGTTAAAATCCTCCTGTCCCACTTAACCCCCCTTTCCACCTGACTGGCTTAGAGACTATAACTATGTGCCCATCTACTTAACAGGCGCTAGTGACAGGTACAAAACATTATGGGTAACATTTCTGAGTGTTTTAATGTAAGACCGGGTGAAGCAGGTAGCTTCTCTCAGCAAGTACAGACATTAAACTGAAAAGAAGTGCACTTCTGCATTTCACTCCGTGATCTAAATTTCTGTGTTCTCACAGTATCAGTGCAGCAAGCTTATTGTTCTTGGATATTATTGTTCTACAATATTTTTCAAAACTCTGGGAGAAAACCCCACATTCTATCACAGTTACTATTTGAACTACCTAGTGAGAAGATGGTATTGTTCTATTTAAACAAATTAAGGCACTCTGTATTCTTCCACCAATTGAATGTTTTGTGTCTTATGCACACTTCTATTTTTAAAAATAACATATTTTTGAGTACTTTCTACCTACCAGTCATTGTGATATGTGTAAGATGGGTTGTCTCATTTAATATTCAAAATAAGCACATGAGGTATAAACTACCATTCTCTTTCCCCTTTCTACAGATGATGAAAGTGAGTCTTACAGAAGTTAATTTGCTCAAGGTCCCACAACTAATAAGTGCAGAGATGGGAAACACATCCAGATTTGTTTGACACAAACTTAAGCCAAATTTCTTACAAAGCTCTCAAAAGGCAATGGATGTTATTTTATCCCATATGTAGCCTACCGACAATTATAATGTCAGATACATTGGAAAGTGCTTAATAAGTGTTTTTTTAATGATGATTGAATATCCAAATTTTGGACAAAGTTTGGAGAAGACAGAAAAGGTTCTTCATTCAGTGGTTAGAAGTCATTAAAAGAATGATACACTCATTTTGTTTGTGGTGATAATAAACACCAGTATTAGTGATTACTCAATGTAACTTGGCTTCCTTTTCTACAATTTTTGTATGTTCTTCTCTTTCTCACTTTGTTTACAAATATCATCTACCTTTTAGAATCACAGGGAAAATTCGGGTTCTAATTTCTGGTTTCTGTGTTGCTATAGAATCTGTCTTACAGAAAGAATAATTTATTTCAGGCAAAGTATATATAATAGAGAGATAGACCAACTGAAGGCTTTTCCCCATCGTTTTATTATGGAGATTTTCAAATATACAGTAAAAGAGAAAGAACTTTATAGTGAATATCCAAATATTGACTACGTGGATTTTGTATTTTACTCTACTTGTTTTATTATTTACCTATCCAGCTTACTTTTCAATGTATTTCAAAATAAATTGCAGAGGGAGGGGGGCTAATGAGGAATTGGTCAACGGACACAAAGAATGATTGCATATTGTAATGATGAATAAGCTAACTACACTGATCTAACCACCACACATTGTACACATGTTTGAAATTCAACATTGTACCCCACATGTATGCATAATAAAAAATAATAATTAAAAGAATAAAAGCTGGAAAAAAACCCCAAATAAATTGCAGACTTCATAATTTGCAGACCTCCTAATACTTCAGCATGCATATCATTAACTAGAGTTTAAAATTTATTTAGTTTTTAAATGTTTTGATTTTATATTTACATGCAATGAAGTGCACAGATTTTAAGTGTAAGTTTTCTGAGTTTTTGCAAATGTATACTCCTGTGTAACCTAAGCCCTTTTCAAAATCTATAACATTGCCATCATCCCAGAGAGTTTTCTAATGCCCCTTCCCAGTCCGTCCCACCCCAGCCCTCAGGTATAATTACTATTCTGATTTTTATCACAGATTAAATTTGCCTATTCCAAAACTTCATTATAAGTGAAATCATACATAGCGTAATGCTCTCACTCAGCATGTTTTTGAGATTTATTCATGTTGTTAAATGTATCAGTAGTTTGTTCCTTTTTATTGCTGAGTATTCATTTGTATGAATGTGTCACAGTTTGTTTTTCATCTTTCTGTTGATGGACACCTGGGCTGTTTCTGGTTTTTGTTGTTGTTACTGTTATGAATAAAGCTTCTGTGAACATTCTATTCAGATTTTTTGAACATATGTTTTTATTTCTCTTGGGTTAATATCTAGGGATGGAATTTTGGGTTCCTCAGGTAGGTGTATGTTTAGCTTAATAAAAAAATGCCAGACCTTTTTTCCAAAGGATTGTATCATTTTTTGTGCGTGCAACAATGTATGAGACTTCCAATTGCTTCACATTTTCTCCAACATTTGTGGTGGTTTGTCTTTTTTATCTTAGCATTTATGGTGGGTGTGTAATCATTTCTAGTTGATACTCAGATTGTTTCTACTTGCACTTTGTAACCCTATGGTCAAGTAAACCTCTTTATCTTTTTTAACACCCCACCTCACTGGAACTTTTGAAAACATTCTTTGTGATAATAGTTGAGATAACCCAAAACTCAGTTTGAGTTATTCTTTCTCAAACATGGAGAACATTGCTTTCCAAGGAACTCTGATTCCTTTAATAGAGACTAACATTACAGGCCAAACCTTCTAAAAGCACATGTTAGACTGTTCCAAATGACTCCTGGAGTTAGACAAAACGGCACTAGGGAAGAGGTTACAGAGGTCATTGTAATAAAAGCAGAAAATGGCATTTTTCTTTAAAGGTTATGAGTTCATGTTATTTCTAAATCAGGTGAATTTTTTCTAATATGAGAGCATATCAAATAAGTTTTATCTTTTTCCCACCAACTGTAATGTTCTGGACTATATGTCATGATACCAAATAATATATTCATGTTTTGGAGCTGCTCAAAATTTTAGAAGCCTTTATTTTTATTTTGCTCTTTTTGATTTTCAATTCAGGTGTCTGAGAATTTCTTCCCAAGTCTGCAGGTCCAATCCCTTTCCTTATTATCACTTGATCCC